CTAACCAATTCTTTTATATTTTAAAATCAATATAATCATGATAATACATTTAAATTACTTTATTTTATGTTTTTTATAAGCAAATATTCTCATTATATTTTGATACTAAAAATGATATTGAAAGAATCCAAGTTATGATTGAACCTGTATCTGCTAATATTTCTGAGATTTTTGGGTATTCAACCATATTAATTATTTTTATTTAATCTAAATTAAAAAATAATACTTAAATTAGTTCTTCCCCATATACATTTTTTGAATAATCTTGATCATATTGTGCTGAAATAACTTATAAATCAGAAAGATATGTTTATTAATTTGAATTGGGCAACAAAAATCCATCATCCATATTTAGTTCTGCAACTTTCAAGATAAATTAATTATAATAGAGCTATCCTTTTATCAAATGAAAAACGAAAATTTTAGGTATCTATTTTACAGATTTCGTTCTATGATCAAATTGGTCTATATAAATAAAAATTTGAAAGAAATTAGTTTGATTAAAGAATTCATCAATTGTATTTTAATTAGCACATTATTATCCTTCTGAAAGTAATATCGGATTACAATAGCCAAAAGATAATTAATAATTAACTAAGACACGTTAAGCTTAATTAACAGGGGAGTTCTGTAATTCTATATTCTCAATTACAAACTTGTTTAATACTTTTCCATTATCTAATTTTTTTTTACTAAAATTAAGTGGTATAATTTAGACCTAAATGTCAAATTAATTTTACATTTTTTTCATCATAAGGAATGAGTTTTAATTTTGGTGAAAGGATAAGATTTTGAGGATTGAAAGGATCTATCTGATTGTTGAGTGATTATAAATAACTTATTTCTGCAAATACTCCTTCAATCTTTAATTTTTATTAATATTGAATTTATTCTTAAAGGAATGTTACTTTAGGAAGTTTGTTATTTGATTACCAATCATAAAATTAAAAGAGAAAATATCCCAAACTTATTCCATATAAAATTAAAGTTACTAATCCACCCAATGCACTTTTTTAGGTAGGCTTAATTGGAGGAATTTATAATTTTTGCTCAACTCCAAACTAATCAATTGATTATAAAAAGTATAACATCTTATATATTATTTATATTAAATTAATAATATTTGAGATTTAAGAAATTATTTTATAATTAATTATAAAACTAGTTTAAATATAAATTACAGGTGACTTATACTGAAATAAATGTTTTTAATAGTTAATTTTTATTAATTCTTCTAAATTGTAATCATTTAGATTCCATTGACTATTCAATATTAATGACTTAGAATTAGGTACTATAATTATGAATTGGTTAACTTATATCTTAATTGCTATTATGTTTTTCTATTTAGTTATTGTCTGATGTTTTTATGGATAACAATCCTATTTTTTCTTCTACTTCTTAATCCAAAATTATATTATAATTAACTCTCATCGCATTTTCTCCGCCTAATTATGAGACTCCTTCAGATTACTGTTCATTTAAAATATGCTTAAAATATGAAAAAGAAATACAATTTAATTTATTTATTATTTTGATGTTTTTTCAGGTATGCATAATTTCTCAAAAAGAAATTCTAATTTATTTTTTGATTCTAAATATTTTTTAATTTAATGTAATCCTAAATGTTCTTGTAAGATTAATTATAACCTAGTTTAATTAAATAAAAAATTCTTACTTAGCTACTTCATTTTATAAATTTAAATAATTTATTTTCTTTATTACAATTTAATCTAATTTATTAAGGATTTCTTCTGATTGTTTTGGATCATATTCTTTTTCTTTGTAATTTATACTTTTGATTTTACCTTACCAATTCTTTTATATTTTAAAATCAATATAATCATGATAATACATTTAAATTACTTCATTTTAAGTATTTTACATACTTAAGTTCTCATTATATTTTGATACTAAAAATGATATTGAAAGAATCCAAGTTATGATTGAACCTGTATCTGCTAATATTTCTGAGATTTTTGGGTATTCAACCATATTTACTATTTTTATTTAGTCCAAATTAAAATATAAAAGTGAAACTAAATTCTCGCCGAACACTTTTTGCGAGTATTCCCAATCATAAGTTTATATTAAAGCCTAAATATCAGATAGATAAGATAATTTTTCCTCTGTTGGTAATAAAAATCCATCATCTAAGATTAATTCTCCTTGCTGTAATAAATATTAATTAGAAAATAATCGATTTATCTAAACATCGAGAACAAAAAATTTGGGAACCTTTTTGAAATTTTTTGTTTTTGGATCAAATTATTCAATAAATATTTACACTTGGAAAAAGTTATCCTGTTTTAAAAATTATTTAATTGTTTCTTCATCAGCACACTTTTATCCCTCAGCTAATCGATTATTTTAGCAAAAACCAAATGTTAATTAATAATCTAAAGCATTTACAACAGAAGATGTAGGTGGAGATCTTTAAATAGTTATATCTTCAATATAAAATTTATTTATAATTTTTCCATTATCCTACTATTCTTATTAATGTCTTAAAGTTAAGTTTTAAATCTAAAATATAAGTAGAAATACATTATTCCAATTGCTTGGTATCACTTGGAAAATTGGATTAAAAATCAGCTTGTTTGGATCGAAAGGATCTATTGAATTATTAAGCTTTTAATAATAACAGATTTCAACAAACACACCTTTCAAAAAAATTGTTTAGTTGACTTCAATCTGTTATTTTAAAGATGTAANCCTAATTATGAGACTCCTTCAGATTACTGTTCATTTAAAATATGCTTAAAATATGAAAAAGAAATACAATTTAATTTATTTATTATTTTGATGTTTTTTCAGGTATGCATAATTTCTCAAAAAGAAATTCTAATTTATTTTTTGATTCTAAATATTTTTTAATTTAATGTAATCCTAAATGTTCTTGTAAGATTAATTATAACCTAGTTTAATTAAATAAAAAATTCTTACTTAGCTACTTCATTTTATAAATTTAAATAATTTATTTTCTTTATTACAATTTAATCTAATTTATTAAGGATTTCTTCTGATTGTTTTGGATCATATTCTTTTTCTTTGTAATTTATACTTTTGATTTTACCTAACCAATTCTTTTATATTTTAAAATCAATATAATCATGATAATACATTTAAATTACTTCATTTTAAGTATTTTACATACTTAAGTTCTCATTATATTTTGATACTAAAAATGATATTGAAAGAATCCAAGTTATGATTGAACCTGTATCTGCTAATATTTCTGAGATTTTTGGGTATTCAACCATATTTACTATTTTTATTTAGTCCAAATTAAAATATAAAAGTGAAACTAAATTCTCGCCGAACACTTTTTGCGAGTATTCCCAATCATAAGTTTATATTAAAGCCTAAATATCAGATAGATAAGATAATTTTTCCTCTGTTGGTAATAAAAATCCATCATCTAAGATTAATTCTCCTTGCTGTAATAAATATTAATTAGAAAATAATCGATTTATCTAAACATCGAGAACAAAAAATTTGGGAACCTTTTTGAAATTTTTTGTTTTTGGATCAAATTATTCAATAAATATTTACACTTGGAAAAAGTTATCCTGTTTTAAAAATTATTTAATTGTTTCTTCATCAGCACACTTTTATCCCTCAGCTAATCGATTATTTTAGCAAAAACCAAATGTTAATTAATAATCTAAAGCATTTACAACAGAAGATGTAGGTGGAGATCTTTAAATAGTTATATCTTCAATATAAAATTTATTTATAATTTTTCCATTATCCTACTATTCTTATTAATGTCTTAAAGTTAAGTTTTAAATCTAAAATATAAGTAGAAATACATTATTCCAATTGCTTGGTATCACTTGGAAAATTGGATTAAAAATCAGCTTGTTTGGATCGAAAGGATCTATTGAATTATTAAGCTTTTAATAATAACAGATTTCAACAAACACACCTTTCAAAAAAATTGTTTAGTTGACTTCAATCTGTTATTTTAAAGATGTAATCTTAGGAAGCTTATTATTTTATTACCAATCAACAAATTCTACAAGAAAGTATGCTAAACTAATCCCGTATAATGTTAGGGTTAATAATCCTCCCAGTGCACTTTTTTAGGTTGGATTGATAGGAGGAATTTGAAGTTTGTACTCAACACCAAATTGATCAATTGATTATAAGAAGTATTTCATTATTTTTAATTTGTAAAATATTTGGATTCAACTAAATTTATACAAGTAAATATTGATGCATATAATGGTTTTGATAGTTTTATAAGTAGAATTATATAGATTTTCGATTAATTTTAAGGTATCTGATTGATATTTGTAAAAAAATTTTACAAATTTAGGTTTCTTAGATTAGATTGGAATATTCAAAAAATGAGAAACTAAATAATCTAAAAAAATATAATTGTGGAAAATTTTAGTTGAATTTATTTCTTAAAAAAAAATTAGAATATCAGATTGAATGTAACTATAGAAAACAGTTTGTTTATTTTAAGGGTATTAGAATATAACTTGGAATAATTTATATTTGTTTTATTGTATATATTGATCATAATCATGCTAGTGGTTTAGCTGATTGAACCAATAATTATTTTAGTTAGTTGACATAGGTACTATTTAACAAAGCAATATCTACTATGACTGCACTGACTAAATATGGATCAATATTGGCAGCAGGTCTTCTATCTTCCAAATATCTATGAAAATAACGATATTAATTACCCTGCCCCTAATTCTTTGGTTACAACTGGAACTCTGATGGATCCACCTCTTGAACCATCGCCCCAGGAGAATTAGTCATAGGAACTTGTTTCATGATGACCTGTTAATCTTTTTTCATTATTGGCTCCATATAATTTTAAAACTTCTTTATGTGTATTACTTAATAAAGGCATTAATTCATTGACAATATATTTATATCCACCTTCCCCTCTTGTTTTAATATCAGAATAGTTTGTATGGGCTCCAGAACCATTCCAATCTCCCAAGATGGGTTTAGGATCATAATTTATATCAATACCGAATTCTTCACCTAATCTTTCTAGAATATATCTAGCTAACCATAAGTGATCTCCAATTTCAATTCCTTCAGCAATACCAATTTAGAATTCCCATTAAGATGGTGCAACTTCTGCATTTACACCAGCTATTTTGATTCCTGCATTCAAACAAGCTCTTAGATGTGCTTCGGATAAAGCACGTCCAAAATTGTTTCTTTCTCCTATTGAACAATAATATCGTCCTTAAGGATAAGGAAATCCTCCTGTTGGCCATCCTAGTGGCCAAATATGTGTTGTTCCTGTACGTTTCAATAAGAAATATTCTTATTCAATTCCAAACCATGGCTTGTAATCTTTAGCTTTTTCCATTATTTCATTAGCTATCCATCTATAATTATAGATTATAATTATTACCTAAAATTATATCTTGCTGGAGTCTTTTTATCTGGTAAATATGTTTCACACAACACCAATTTGTGAGGATCACCTCTAAAGGGATCTTTCACAAATACAACAGGTTTCAAATAAATTTCTGACCATTTTGTATTTGCTTATTCTGTTGATGAACCATCATAAGTCCACCATTCAAGATCAGAAAGTTAAGTTATAGGTGTTGGATATACCTAAATTATTATTATAAAAAGTACTTTTGTTTTAGATCTCATTCTCTCTCCAGTTCCATCAATCCAAATATATTCAGCCAAGACTTGAGTAACATTCGAATTCAGTTTATAATAATTAAAATCACGAAGATGTTCAACAGTCTCGGTCATGAGAGTATCTAAAATTTATTCAATTATTCTAAATTAAAACGCGTATACAATTTCAAATTTAACTGGTTTTATAGTTGGTCACAAAATAATAATCACATTAAATTGATATCTAATATTGATTATTATTACATAATTAATCAAACAAGATTTTGTTTTTAATACTCATATAAAATTCATAATTAAATTAAAATAACAGTAATTTGCATTTTTCCAAAAAAAAGACCCTATTTAAATATTCATTATGTGTGATAATGTTACTAGTATGATTAATATCATTCTCAATATTGTAATTTTGGTTATTTTTAAATAATGATTCAATAAATATTAAGTTAATACTTAAGTACTTAATAATAATAAATTATTTATAGAAAATTTAATTATTTTATAAATGGATCTAAGATTTTGAGAAATGCAGAACATTCATGGATCAAATGAAAAGCCTGATTGCTTAATATTAATTTTAATAAATATTTCATTCAGCTTTTTGTTTTTTTTATTTGGCGCTTAACTTATTTCCACTTTTTTTATCATGCATATATAAGGCTATATTGCATAGTGTACCAAATATAGTTACAATTCGAATAAATTACATCATTTAGACATAGGAATATTATGATTCATCCTAAATAATTTATCCAACTATAAGAGGTAAAACAGATAGTCCAATATTTTGGATTGAGGTTACAACTCCAAATCCAGTTCCTTATGCTTTAGCACTTATACATAAAGGAATGCAGGGCCAAATAACTGGAGCAAATATTGCAAAGGAGAGACCACTAATAGATTAAGCTAACAATGTTAAATTATGGCATGTATCATTTATACAATTAATTTCTACACAATATAAAGATGTAGATATTAAAAGTAAAATTCCTGAGATTAAAATAATTAATGGTCTTTTTCCAATTTTATCAACAAAGCCACCAAATATAGGAGTAATTATGGCACTAATATAATAAGGTAGACTGTAAAAAAATGTAGCATCTTAATCTTTTAATTAATATCTATTTAAATTAAATATAAGTAATACCTAATCTTAAACATTTGTAAACAATTTTATTATAATACTATGAAAGCACTATATGATAATACGCAAGTCAAAGAAACAAGATAAAAATCTAATTTGAATTGTTTAATATCAGCTAAACTAACATTAGATTATTCTTCATCTTTTTTAATTTATCCATCTCTAAAATCACTAATTTTATCCATTTCAATTTAAATGAAGGAAACTCCCCAAACAATTAAAATGATAAGACAACAAATCATCATACAAGATTAAAAACTTTCATTAAATTATACATATGTGTATCTTAGTAAATTTACTCCTAGAACTGATCCTAATCTGGTAAATGTTAATTTTAATCTAAAAATATGATTTATAATTCAATAGTGATTACCCAAAAGCTAAGGCCATTTCTTAACCAACAAACCATTTACTTACAATAGAACTTTAGGCTACACTCATGCAAATCTCTCCTCCCATTCCCATAAGCATCATACCTAATTTCAAATAATTATAGTTCAATATTAAGGATCCATAGTAACATAGAGCTATTATATATCAAAATAAAATTATACCTTATCCAAATACTAAAAAGGCTGTAAATGATACCAAAGAGGATCTAATTCCGATTTTATCTATTATGATTCCTCCAAAAAATGGAAATATAACATTTGGCAAGGAATAGAATGTAAATAGTTGATTAATATCAGATTATTGGATATTAAATTGCAATTTCATTTGAGATGCCAAAACTGATGGAAAATCACTACACAAACAACATCCAACTTAAAAGATGCATGTCATTGCCAAAAATAACCATCTTAATGATGTTTAATGCCAAGACACTTATTTCTTATCCATTTTAAATTTAATTTAATACTTAATAAAATACTACAAATTATAAATTCTAAAATAGTTCATAAATCATTATTTTTTATTATATTAATATTTATAGAATGGAATTAGAGATAATAGTGATAATTTTAAAGATAGAATTATTTTATATTAATTCGTAATTAATTATATTTAATATAATATTATAACGGATTGAAAGTAAATAAATGAAAAGTGTTCTTAAGTAAATGATTATCCCTATGAAAAAGTTAATCAAAATAGTCTGTAATGTTGCATATAGCAAACAGTATAATAAAAAATACAAAAAATGATTTCACAGTAAAAGATTGTGATTAGCCAATAATAAATAAGATTCCAGCATCAAAGCGTATCTAGACAAAACCGAAGGAGAATGCTGTAAGTGAATACAATGTAATCACAAGATGTGTAACTGAATAAAGAAGAAGCTCTGGTATACTTATTGTTTGATTAGTTACGGAAAATAGCATTAATGAATAAAAGGAATAAAAAAGGATTCCATCTTACTGTATGAAATGGTTGAATTATAAATATTAGAGGAAGGTAAAATAATAGATGAAAATAGGAATTTGTGTAACTAGAGTAGCAATTTAAAAAAATACTTTAAATTTAGCCTGAGAAAGATATTATTCATTAAATTGAAAGAGATCTATCAAGAACAATTAAGGCAGAGAATCATTTTACAGAAATTAGAAATATTCTTATTGCATATTCAGTTTATGATCCAAATGTTGGATATATTTAAGGAATGAATTAAATTGCATCAATTTTATTTAATCATGCAAAATAAGAGTGGATAGCATTTTGGTTATTTGTAAATTTGATAGAATAGATGGAGATAAGAGATATTTTTTAGTTGTCATTAAATGCAATAAATAAATACTCAAAAATTTAGGATTTTCTTTTGAGTAAATTTTTACCAAAGGCTTATGATAATTTATGTTTAAAATAAGTAAACACTGAATTATATATTTAATAATGGATTTTAAGTTTGTTGTTGTAATTTATTCCTTTTGATTATACATAAATATATTTGGATGGGTTATTCAAATAAGGAATATCATATTTTTATATGATAGCATTAACAATAATTAAAGTATTTGAAAAATAAATAGAAGAAGAAGATTAAATAGAAATTTTAATTTTGTTAACATAAAAGTAAAATGTAATATTAATTTTATTAATGAAATTAGAGTTAATTGAAATGGCCATCAATATTAGCATTATAATGGGACATAAATCCAGGAGAATTGAGAGTGTTATTGGATTGTTTTGACAATGAGACAAATACTTTTCATAGACCAAAATTCTAAACACATTGTTCATAGTTGACAACAAAATTTTTCGAATTTATAAAAAATAGTTGAATACAATCTAATATAATATGAGATTTGGAAATTTTATTTAATATTTCTTATTTTAATACTAAAATGGCAACAGAATTGTTATAAGAGAATTATGAATTTAATGCACCACCAAGGGTTGTATAGAAATAAAAATATAGAGAAGATATAAGAGATTCTTGTAATATTATGTGGGATAAACGTGTAATAAGAGGAAATACATATTCAAGCATTCTTAATAAATCTGAACCAATGATTTAAACAACAATGAAAAGGATTTAGTAAACAAAAGTAGTAACAGAAAAGAAAGAGGATGAAACTATTCATGATGAAGAAACATAAACAGATCCAAATGTTGAAGAACTTACAGATAAACCACCAAGACATTAGAAAGAATCTTAAACTGAATTTATTATTGAAAAAGTAGTACTACGACTCTTTATGAAAGAAAAAACAGGTATTGATTAAGAAACATAAGTTTGGGATGATGGAGAGTTATTCAATTTTGAATATGAAGCAGAACCAATTTTATAAGTTTTGGTTAAAAAGACACTAGATCTTAGTAGAATGGAAGTATTACAAGAAGAAGAATTAAGAGAGATGAAGGAAAAGTAAGAATATTATTAAAAATTAAAATAAATGGAAATGGCTGAATAAGACAGATTAGAAGAAAAAGAATTATAAATATTTAATGAAAATCTTTTACTAAAAAATAAATATCAAAATTAAACTAATAGAAATATTAAAATTCATGAAAAATTAGTTAGTAGAGCTTTGTCTAAATAATATTTATAAAAATGTGTTCGATAAACAATATAAAAATTAAATGAAAATGGATATTTTAGAGATCCAGTTGAAACTTAATTGATTGTTGAATATTTACCATGGATTTTTTAAGATGTAAATTAGGAATTACTATAAACAGATTAAATAAATTAAGAATATCAAAAAATGATTGAAGAAATAGATCATTAAATGTTTGAGTTACATTCTTTGACTTAAGCATCTGAAAGAAATAGACGTTAATCTATTTTATAAGAAAGAGAAAGATAAAGAATTGCAAAAGAAGAAGCGGACAGACAAAGAAGAGAGAGGAGAAAAATTAGATTAGAAAAAGAAAGAAGATAAAAATTAAGAGATACTGTATAAGAATAATTGATAATGAAAGGAGAAGAAAGAGAATGGTTTACTTTAATTTCAGATATAGATGGATATTATTCTGGAACTAATACGATAGGATATCTAGGAGGAATAATTGGTTAATTTATTATTACTATTAATGCTTTGAAATAATTAGGAGAGACAATTGAAGATTTATCAGAACTTATTTAATCTACTATTATTGCCTTACCAGAATCAAGTATGATAGAAATTGGATTGAAAGAATAAGTCGAACAAATGTTAGCAGAAATTGAACGTATATTTTTATTTATATTAATTTTTTAGCTGAATTAACTTTGGCAACTCTGCCAGAATAACTAAGTTAAGGTATTGAAAATGCAATAAAATAAAATATCACTTATAGTATTCAGTAATTCTGGGACAAATTTGATTTTATTTAAAATGCTTCCTAAATTTCAGATATTGTTATTAAGATTTTATTTGAAAATAGATAGAAAATCAAATGGACCAAAATTAAAGGGTAAGTAGATCTTTTTAAAATTCCATGTCTTGTTAAATTATAACCATCCATGGATAATTTGCAATTTCATCCTAAATCAGGTAAAACGAGAGTTGAAAGATCACCAGAAGATGAAGCAACTGAAGAAGAGATAATTAATCCTAAAAATCTTGGGGAAGCTATTGTTGACACTAAAGTTACAGCTTTTATACCATAAGTATATTATTTTATAATTTTTAAGAACGAAGAACTTCAAACCGCAGTTATTCATAATGTGGCAGAATTCTAACTTAGACGTTTATTAGTTTAATAAATAGGAGATTAAGACATTCCCTGGTAGGTTAACTTTACTGATAAATGTCAACAACTCGAAGCTTAAATTATTGAAACTATTAATCCTTAATTGCCTTAATTAGATGTTTATTAATATTGATTAGCAAAATATATTTAATATCATTAAATTAATTATTAAATTCTTACATTTGCTTTCTACAATAAAAACACAATTTGTTTATAAAAATTATATTGCTGCTGATCTAAGACTTAATAAATACTCACCAAATCTTACATCTATTGATTTATTTATTGATTTCTTGGATTTTATATTATTAAATTTAAAATTTCTATAGTAAATAAACAATATTCTTTTTATTTCTATTGTTCAAGAGTATATTCTTTTTATTTTAAAGCTACTTCAATTAAATATTTTATCTTAGTCAATTCATTTATTAATCTTCTCTATTTCTATTCTCGAGTTTCTATGTATTAATTCATTGGATCTGTGCAACAAATAAATAAGTCCAAATATTTATCATCCTATTATTACTTACTTTGTTTATTATTTATACAGAAATTTAGATGATTATTAGCCTATTTTATAGAAATAAATTGATCACACATTGTACAATAGATATATTACATTAAATCTAGAGCTTCCTAATCTTACCTTAAAATTCTTTAATCTCCATGATTAGGTTTATTGTTTATATACTGTAATTAATGTTATATTGGATATTTCTAACAAAGATATTAATAAAATTAATCATAACCTAAATTACCATATAAATCCATGATATAACTCTGTTATGATTCATTTAAAACATTTTAATTTTAAACTTCAGGTGGAAGGACTTATTCATTTTAATTTGTATTATTATATTCAAATTATGAAATATTGAGTATTTATTATTATTACTATTATTATTATTATTAAGGTGAATATTATTATTATAAAATTTTTTGCGTAGATTTATCTCTACTTAAATTTATTTGAGATTAATCAAATATTTTTTCTTTTTAATGGATTATACTTGGTTATTGTTAATTAAAATTCAAAGGTAGACTTTATTAAGAATTTTATCTTCTATTTGGTGTTTATGCTTATTAAACAATTTTTTGTTCTTACTCACATCTAAGAATTGGTTATTTTTCAATTGATATCTCTTTAACATGCTGACATTAGTTAGGTTCGGTTATTCTTGATTTATTAGTGATTTATTAATCAAAAATTGGTTTATGTTTATGTACTGGAGTAATTTCTTAATAGTTAATTGAAGTTTAATATGGTGGAGCTTACTTATGTATTGATATTTAATATTCTGGTTAAGCACTAACATTCATAGCATGATATGAATTTTTTTAATCAACTATTTATTCTTCATTAGTAATTAGGATTGGACTTTTATTGTAATACTTTTCCTGTGATTAAATTTAGTATCTAGGTTATTATTATACTTAATGATATTATGGAGTGGATTCATAATTTTTTTGTTATTATTCAATGGTTCCATAGTTTTATCTTAATTTATTGATATATTGCATTTATGGTGTATTTTATGAATATTAAGTTGATTACAATGGGGTATGCTATTTTTATTGTTATATGCTATTGTAATTAGAACTGAATCTCTAATGATTTGTAGGTGATAAATAATTCATTTAGACTCTAGAACTGATAGGCATGAGATCATTATTATCATATTTTTATTATTTATAGCTATCCAAAGTTTATAAATCTTCCAAAAGTTGTTATTCTTATTAATCAATATAATCATAAAAATTTTCAGATTGATTTTATTTGTGTCCATTATATTATTATTATTATTTAGCTTATTACTTTAAGGCTATGGTTTACAACATTTAAATATTTTGTTCTCTCTGAGATTTTAATTCTTATAACAATTATTAATAATCTTATCTTGATGAATATTAGAGTTAATTTATATTGGTAGTCAATTCATTATAAATGTGATCTATTTTTGTAACAATCTATTGATATTTCATATGATTGTCGCTTTTTTAAGAATACATTTCTTGTTCTAATTCAGAGTATTACATCATTAATTAATTGTAGTGATTGTTAATTTCTTGTTGAGGTGATATTTAAACTTATTATCTTGGTGTTGAAAATGTTTGATTGTACATGGGTTGCATCTATTGAGAATTGGAAATTTAAAGAGGAAGTAATAACAAAATAAATTTATTTTCAGCAATAAAATATTGAAATATTGTATATTTACATGTAATAATACTTCACATAAACTCAACTAAAGATTTAGATAAATAAATTAATTAAGTTTCGATTCTAGCTGCTACAGTGAGAAGAGTGATGTGACATAATTCATCAGCTGATAGTTATAGTTAAATTGACTCTATATGAGATTTTTAAATAACATTTGGTGTCCAAATAAGTAATTTTATGAATTATTTCAATTATTGTGGAAGTAACTTCTCCATCTTTCATAATAAAATATGTTATTTATTTATACCTATGCCCAATAATCAATATCTTCATGTTAATATCTGAATTACCCTTCTCCATAATAACGTATGGCTTTTCTAAAAGCTGCAGTTGCTACTTCTTCATTACCAAAAGAATTTCTTGTCATTTACTTCACTTCTTATAATAAATTATTGATAGCATCAGCACCTTCTAGAAATGCTTCCTTTAAAACAGGATAACTATTTAATTAAAAAGAATATTCCTAATAATTTTAAAACTGTTTACTGAAGATCTCAAAACACTTTTGCCTTCACAGTAGGATAATTCTGAATTTGAAAAATGTTTAGAGAATTTTTCATCAAAATGCAATTTTAATTATTAATCTGTTTCTTCAACATAAAAACTGTAAGATTAAGAAGTTTTTTATCTAATTTAAATTTACATCTATGCCTCTTCAGAGGGAAGTTCTTCATCAAGAAAAGCTGATTGCTTAAGTTCTTAGAGTATGGATTCATTCTAAATAAAATCAATAAAAGATTCATGTTAAGAACATTACATACTATTATTAATAGAGCTATTATTATCAATAATAGCATCAATTTCCTTAACAATACCATTACCTAATGAAAAGCTTCCCAAATTGTTGTAGAATATAAAGATCATCAATGATTGTACTAATTCTTTCCTTTTCCAATTACCTTTGAGTAATTTATGTAATTCTTAAGATAATTGAGGATCCCATGGTTTAGTAATCAACAATTTACACAAAGGGTCTAATTATTTAATGTGCTCATCAACACAATCATAACCTATTTCTATCCAATTCTTTTATCCCTCATTTAAATAGAATATTTAAGATAGTAATAAATATAATTAATCACATCCTGAGGCAGCTGCGCCCTAATAAATTTAGACTTAAATTACATTACCATGATAGCCATATAATATTTTTCATCTTACAATAGTTTAGTCTTAGTATTAAACAAATTATCTATTAATAAGGTATATGATTTCAATAATTTTGGAAACCACAGTAAAGCAAATTCATGTAATCCTACTCTTCCATAATTAAAATTAAATATCTTTAACAAATGATCTTATAACTCTTCTGATTTTAGAGTTCCAATTACTGGCCAAGGCAATTAAGCAATCTAACCATCAATAAAATCATTTGCCACTTTTATAGAAGGAAATTGATTCAGAAATTTCGATACTTTATGATTTTTAGGCTACTTTTGTAGATAATTAATACAGATAGTTTATATTCAATAGCCAAATCCTCATACAAACAAACAACTGATGAAATTGGAGTTTGATTGATTACTACAGCCAATTTGGCTTCAATTAGATTTAGGATTGATTAATCTTAACATTCAAGTAACTTTTAGAATTGTTATATGCATTAATCTAGTAATTACTCATCTTCATCTTTATTCGTCAAATATTCAGGAAATGCAAGACGAACATCTTCATTATCTTAATCCATTTATATATATATTCTTTTTTTATTTTGTACAATAAACTCATTATTATTCATTTTCAATCAATGCAGCAGCACCCATACCAGTAGCAATACACATTGAAATGACACCATATTTAGCCTTCTTTCTCTTCATTTCTGGTAATAAAGTGGCTACTTATCTAGCACCAGTACATCCTAAGTTTATAAATTATTTATTTACCTAATGGATGTCCTAAAGCAATAGCACCACCTTTTGGATTTACTCTAGTTGGATCAATTCCAACCTTTTATACACTATAAACAGATTAGCTGGCAAAGGCTTCATTAATTTCATATATGCAGATGTCATTTGGTTTCAATGAATTTTTTTATAATAATTATGGGATAGCAGCAGCTGGTCCAATACCCATGATATTGGGTGGTACACCAGCAACAGTGTAATCAATAAATCTAGCTAAGATTGGTAATCCCAATTTTTAAGCATAAGATCTTCTAGCTAAAAGAACAGCAGCAGCACCATCAGTTACTTAAGAAGAATTACCAGCTGTTGTTGATCCATCCTTTCCAAAAGCAGGCTTTAATTTACCTAATCCTTCAAGAGTAGTCTCCTTTCTAATTCCATCATCTTCTGTAACAAGAACTTCTTTAGTTTTTTCACCATCTTTAATAAAGGTTTTGACAGGGATAATTTCATCTTTGAATAATCCTTCTTATTATGCTTTATATGCCTTTTATTAGGATTCATAAGCAAATTTATCTTATTATAATCTTGTTACTCCAAATTGAGCTGCAACATTCTCAGATGTTTATCCCATACCTAATAAGCAATCTCTTGCACATGGATGATCAAAGATTGCATCACTTAGTAATTCAGCATTCATTTAACTCTACATATCATACATAGTCATTTATTCAACTCCAGCTCCAATACCAATATCCAACATTCCAGATCTAATTTTGGCAGCAATTACAGCGCATGCTTCTATTCCTGATGAACAGAATCTATTAATTGCTGTTAAACATGTTGTATCTGGGAATCCAGATAAGAAGGCAGCCATTTTAGAAACTATGGCACCACTTCCTGGTTGATTTACATTACCAACTACAATGTCTTAGATCAATTTTGGATCAACTTTTGTTCTTTATAAAAGACCTGTAAAGGCAGTACTAAGAAGAATCTCAGGGGGAGTATCTCTCAATAATCCTCTCTTGGCTTTTGTTAATGGAGTTCTAACAGCACCACAAATGACAACATCATTATCACATCTTGCTGGAACAGGTGTACAATTGTTAACCTAAGCACTGATATGTTGGACTCTTTGCATTAATAAGATATTTTATTTAATTAAATTGCAAATAATTGTTTTTGTATTTGGATAAATCTCTATTCCTAAAAATTAGAATTCATGGAATGTTAATTGGAACATATACAAATGGGAAGAAATCCTCGGTATCTTCTAATTCTTCTTTTGTTCCATATAATCCTACTTGAGATGGATCTGCGTACAATTTCAAAAGGGATTATTATACTTTCTTCTCTTTTCCTTAATCTGGCTAAAAATTGTTCATAATTAAACCATACTTTAATAATGCATTGAATGTTAGGTTCAGCTGCTCCAAATCTCATAGCAATATCTACAACCAATCTAAGTACTTTTAGATGCATATATGTAATATATAAATCACTAAATGCTTTTTCGCATGCTTGTTTTAATGTAGTCTATATAATTATAATTTATTATGAGATACATTCATATGATCTGATTTAGATTTAAGATCCAATCTTAATTTTTCTCTTTCTTTAGATTCTTAAGATTTGTATTCAAATTCTTTAACAGTGATTCTCAACTTATCTCTAGCTTTTTAGATGAATTCTTCAACTGGTGTTGGTTTTTTATTTTTTCCCTTTTCCTCATCACCTTTATCAGCAACTTCAAGATCCTAATCTTTATCGAAAGATTGCTTAACAATAACTACTCTCCAAATGGTTAAGTTATCCTTATCTTCAATTTAGAATTATCTATGTAATATAGTGTCATAAATACCTAGCTGATTAAGGTACAACATTTTCACATAAAAACTCATAACAAGCTAACCATTCTTAAATTTAAGTCTTAGGTACAATAGCAACTAAAGTAGTTAGAAAATCGCTATAAATGAAATCTCTTGGTTTAACAATAGGTTCTTTTAATACATCAACTAAGTCTCTGACTAATAAATTTCCTTCTTTCTTGGCTACTTATTAACTCTAATTCTTCAACTCTTAATAACTTGTTGATTTCTATCTTAAATCTGTTTCCACGTGAGTAGCTCTCTAATCAGCATAAATAAATTCTTATACCGATGAAATTGCCTTCACCAATTCGGTTAATGCAGATGCTCTGGGAAATGTTTGATCATTCCATTTAAATTAGAATAAGAAATTCTCAATACTCTCTAGGAATAATTATTTCTTAATATACATGATCCATCTTTCAATTCAATTGTGAAATCATAACTAACTTTCTCTGTTACATCCAAATACTATCTCTCAATCTTCTTCAACAAACTCTCTACTACTGATTCTTATTTCAATAAACTATCGTTGATGAACATCAAGTGATCCAAATTACCCAACTTGAATTTTCCAATATCAGTCTGCAAAAGCCTTCCTTTAGCTTATCTTGATATCCCTGATGTCAAAACATGTTTCTCCATCTCTAACCAAGCCTATTATTCATTTGACTTATGAGGTGCACCAATCAGAAAGTATACCATTTGTTATATTAAGATATTTTAATTTAATCTGCAATTATTTATTACTCATCCCCACATTATTTATTCATTTTATCATTCAAGCCTAACTTTTACCCAACATTAAATTATTTCATTATTATCTTTTTATTAAATATAACACACACTCTATTTCTTTCTTATATCATTTATATTTTTACATATAAATTCTTTTAATTTCTTTAGTCTTTTATTATTTTATCCCAAACAATATTATTATAATCTCACTTTTATAATACTAAAGTTTTTTGGTTATTCCAAATTTATTATTCTTATAGTCTATTCTTAAATCGAAATCATTAGTAATATTGCTAAAACTAAAATTAATTTTACTCATAGATGAACTTAAGATCTAACATTTTTCTTATGTAAATTGAAACATGCAATCAGAAAATTATTATTAAAAGTAAATAAATGAAATAAAAATAGCCTATCTGTAAATTCTTAATTTTAATTCTTAAAAAATAAACAATCTACGTTATCAATATAGATATATAATAAATTTATAATTTTTAAATATATAAGAGTAATTACTAGAATTAAAATAACTTAAAATTTATGAAATACTTTTCTGATTTAAAATAAATATCATATTATATTTTATTCATCAATTTTAATAATTCACAAAAAATACTAAAATTTTTTCTACTAAATAGAAAGAAAATCTGTTACCGAATAAGAATTTTTAATTAAATATAAAAGTGAATTTTCATAATCAAAAAGCTGCTTTTTATAAATATCTCATCATCAGTTAAATTTATAGTTTTAAATAGAAAAATTTGAGTTTCAATTTTTCTATTATTTTATTTAATTTTTAATCATATTATTTGTTTTATTATTTTGTACTTATAAAGGAATATTGATATTTTTTCTATAAATTTGAATAAATTGATTCTTTTAACTAGTTTCTGATATGCATTTCAATTTTGTTCTGAATGATAATTCATAATTAATTTATTTTTTTAGTTAAATTTTTTCATCCTTTTCAACAATGCAGGATAAATATTTGATATTGATCTATGATCTATTATCAAATCTATTTGGCATAAATTTTCAATTCTTATCCAATCATAATCATATTCATTTATTAGAATTTTTAATTTCTCTAATATATAATAATTCCCTTTATATACTTTAATCATTAAATAATCTATGATATATATTATTTGTGTCTTTCAAAGTTGGAAAAATTATTTTGTCCATACATTTCTCTTATATTTTTGTATATAATAATTCATTATAACAATAAGAGAGTGTTTAGATTTAAATATAAAATTCTATATTAAAATAAGATATAAAAAAGATCGAAAATAATATAATGTTAATGGAAATATAATAGGTGTTAATCATTAAATGGGTCTTTTTGATCTATAATATTCAATTTTATTATCTTTTTTTTCAATATCTTCCTTAATTAATTGTTCACCTAGTCTAGCAAGATCTAAATAATGATTTTATGTGGAACATATATTCTAGATATAAATAATAATATATACTTCAGATAAATAATTTTTAGAAGTTTCACCTTGGTCTAAAAGATCAGCTATCATTTCATAATCTTCTATTTTTTCAAGTTCATATTTAATCATATATTTATCAAAATTAGCATTAAAATCTAGACATTTATCATCAATATCTCTTAATTACTTCAAATGTAAATATAATTTATATGTTGAATCGAATTATTAAATTATTTATAAATTTTGAACTAGAATTTTATTGCTTGCTAATTCATTTTAAGTAATTTAATTAACAATCATTTGCTAATACTTGAGTTGATCATATTTAGGTTATAGAATGCCTCTTAACTTATCTAAAAATATAGGATGATAAATTAAGTCTTTTTCCCATTTTCTAATTACAGCATAAGCTTTTTCTAAATCTGCAATTTCATCTACTTAACTATAGTTTTAATTTGATTAGTTACTATGAATAATCTTAAATTAATTTCTTCAATTTTTAACCAAAACACTTCACATATGGATGATCCATTCTTTTAGCTTACTTTTCATCTAGGATAATTTGATGAATAAGAAATAAATAGAGTTTCTTTCTCTCTTTTCTAGCACTTATAAATTCATTTTCTATAATGAATGCTACCATACCACTATGTTCTGGGAAGGTGGAACAATAATTTGAAGTTTCTAAAAAAATTAAGAAAATGTTAGGTCTTACATTTAATAGAATCTTATAATTCAGTAATTTCCCTAACCTATCTCTCTAATTGCTTGATGTCCATATTATGTAAAAAATATAATATTTTGTATTAATTTATCACTTGAATTATTCTTCAAATTTTAAATTTATCAACTAAATATTGTGTCTGCTAAAAATATTAAACCATATTAAAAATATTTCTAAATGGTAAAATTAGAATGTGTAAAATATTTAGGAGAGACATTCATACATATTTATTGATTTATAAGTATGTAATGAATAAATGATATTGAATACATTCAAATAATAAATAATGAAAAAGATATCTTATGGTTTCTCATAGTTGATGAAATTGCATTTACATGACTATCATGTTAATTTAAAAGCCAAAATGGTTCCATTTGCAGGATATGATATGCCTGTTTAATATCCTTTAGGAGTATTAAAAGAGCATCTTTATTGCAGAGAATCATGTGGATTATTTGATGTATCACACATGGGATAAATAAAAGTATTTGGAGAAGACAGAATGAAATTTGTAGAAACTCTAACAACTGGAGAATTTTAATGTATGTATAATTGTAATGAATCAATAATTAGCAAAGAAATCAGGATAAAGTGTTTTATGTTTGATTTTGAATGAGAAAGCAGGCATAATTGATGATACTATAGTTGCAAAACGAGATGATCACATGTATATATATTTGCATTAAATTAAAAAGTCACATTGTTGTTAATGCTGGTAATAAATTCATTGATATGAAACAAATGGATAAAATCATAAAGGAATACAACTATAAAGTATAATATGAATATTTGAAAGACAAACCTTTAATAGCTGTTCAAGGTATATAAATTAGATTCTATTTTTAGGACCAAATGCTCATAAAGTATTGAATGAAGTTTTCGGAACAGAACATAATTTAGATAAAATACCATTTATGTTTATGGTGAATATATAGAAAAATGGAATAGATTATTAAGTAAATAGATGTGGTTATACTGGTGAAGATGGTTATGAAATATCTGTTGATAATTCTAAAGCTGAAGAATTGTGTGATAAATTATTGGCTACTAAAATGACATAATTTTGTGGTTTAGGAGCTAGAGATTCTTTACGTCTTGAAGCTGGATTATGTTTACATGGTCATGAAATGGATGAAACTATTTCTCCATATGAAGCTAAATTAATGTGGACTGTTCGTAAACCTAATGTATTACTCTTATTTATCAATTTAGAAAGATACTGGTAAATATAATGAATCAGCTGCATTTATTGGAAGAGATGCTTTACCTTAAAGATAAAAAGATTCTAAATTCAAAAGAATGGGATTCATTACTTAATCAGGTATAGCTAGACCACCTTGTGATATTGAATTCTAAGGTTAAAAAATAGGTTCTGTTACAAGTGGCACTTATTCACCTAATCTTAAAAAAGGTTTAGGATTTGCTTTCATTAATAATGAATATGCTAAAGATGGAACTTAATTATAAGCTGATATTAGAGGATCCAAAGTTAATATCACTTTGAGTCCAACTCCATTTGTACCATAAAGATATTATAAACCAGATAAATAGTGATTTAACTGCTATTTGGAAAATAATAATCAATAAATTTTTCTATCGATTTTTCTATCAAAGATTCTCTTTACAGAATTACTTTCATAAAATTTATTTGCAAAGGAGGATTCTTAATCTGAATTTATGTTGTAGGATCTCAAATATTTAATTAATTTTACTTATTAAACTCTGTTGTATATTATCCTTCAAAACTTGCATTAAATAATTTTGGACTTATTGGACGCATTAATCTTGAAGGAATTCTACTAAATTGTTATTATTAGTAATACGAAGATGTACTTTCTTTGATTAGCTATTCAGGCTTTTCAGCAAAGGGTCCTCTGATTAAAATTTAATTTTATACAATTTTACTATCTTTTATAATGGAGATCTTTCTGTCTTTATATTCTTAAATTCTCGAGCATAGCTACTCTCTGAAACAAATGGTAAGTTTGATGGTTCAACTGATGATGTTTCTCTTGTCATCTTACCAGGATACTAAGGTTTCCAATTTTAAAATTATGATCTATATGTTGATAAATAGGATGATTAGCTTAAGTTAGGATTAAAATCCTTCTTTTAAGATTTTTGTTATTTTTCTAATTTAAATGGCAGATATTGGGACTTCCTTTAATTATTATATATACATTATAAACACTATCAGGATATAGTTATTTAAGGTTTTTACTCCACATTTAATCATGAGCCTTTGATTAATTTAAAAGTACATCTTGATTTCCTACATTCACATTTTGATAATCTTTATGGTATTAACTTTAAATTGCTTTTTATTGAATTTTATTTTTTAAGGCTTACAATTTAGATTGCTAAACATAAAGAGCTTATAATAAAAATAATAAAATACTCATTATTCCCAAAAAGAAAGCTGGGTTCGATTCAATAACTTCTTCTATAGTCTAAGATTTTTCAACTAAATCACTCCAAATTGGATGATCTATTGGAAATATTTCAATAACTGTTTGATATAAACTCTTATCTGAATCTAAATATTCTAGTTTTGGAAGCAAATTTATTTTATTTTTTTATGAAGTATTATGTAATCTATGTTCCTCATACTTTAACTCTTCATTTTACTCTCCATTATAATAACATTTTCTTATTTCAAGCTTATCAGTAAGCGGAACCAGATTTTTTTTTTATTTAAGCAATGATCGTTTCTTAGGTGTATATTATGATATCTATTCCTAAATAGTTTTCTCTTAGCTAACTGATTTATTAGTTGATATTAATAAATCACTACTTTAAAGAACAGGTTTTAATTCGTTCCTTATAAACATTTATATATATAATTTAATTACTTAAGAAGTTGTAGATAGAAATATACTTTAAGATCAATTCTCAGATAGTTCTATATTCACTTTTAGATTTTTATAACTATGTAAATGAACTTAAAATTTAAAACATCAAATTTTATAACCCAGCTCTTCTTTAACATTAAGTTTACAATAAATCTTTATCAAAAAACAATATATAATCTAATAAGATGCAAATATTAAAATTAATTTTGTTAACTTAAAAATAGACACAAAATGTTTATATGACATTAATATACAAAGAGTGAAAAAAATAATTCACTAACAAAATCCTTTATAAAGACTTTTTTAATATTATATGTTGTAATCAATTTTAGTTTAGAGATTTTGAATATTCTTAAATATTTGAGAAATAATTTTTTACATTTATTTGATTTATTTACATTTAAAAGCAAGGCAATCTATCCAATCCTTCTTAAAAATATTCTTTGAGTTCAAATTGAAACACTGTTAATAATATGATAATGATACTGATATTTAACATTAATGATTGTTAAAACCATAATTGTATAATATATTTATAATGTATCAATAAAACCTAATGAAAGAATGTTTCACTTAATCTACTCTCTTATTATGAATTTTGTAAATTTATTTCTTATAAAGTTAGATTAGAATAATTATAAATTTAAAGATGATTATTATATAGATAAAATTATTGAAAATTGATAAGGGAATATAAACTTAACAAATATTGTTTGTTTTATTTAAAATATTACTAATCAGAATCCTAGGTTCATACTATAATAAACAATATCACCGTTTTTAAGATTTGATTATTAGATTGTTTGATTATCATTCAATTGATTTTAACCAAATGTAAGCCTACAATTTTCCAAAAGAGAGCCTTCTTTTTCACAAAACATTTTTTTTAGTTATAAGATTGTATCGTTTGGATTAACCTAGAATTCAAAATGCTGTTCCATCATATTGCAAATAATGATTTTCATTTTATTAAATTTTTATATATAATTTACTTTTACATTCCTATTCACTTAAATAATGTGCATTAATACGAGATTCTTTTAAAATAATTATATTATTTAACTAAATTGTGATTAGAAATGCTTCTTTAACTCCTCTAATTTAAAAATAAGTATCTCCTTATAAGAGCTTTGACAAATAAAATTCATGAACTTGAATATAATTAAAAATCTAACTAAGAGTACGTCTATGGGAATAATGAAGAGTTATCAGTTGCTGGATAATAATTTTTAGAATTTTATTTTTATGATTACATGCTACTTTAAGGGTAATATTTGTTTTTATAAGCATTAGATACCCTAATCCGCTTTCTTGTTTTAAAAAGCCTAACGACATAATTCAATTAAGGTAGAGATTGATTAATGATTAAAACTTAGCAGATATTGGGTTATAATTGGATCTTCCTAAATTTCTGAAAGTTGGAAACTAAATTCATCTCAAGTATATTTAAATGTGTAAAACATTAAGGAACAATTAAAAAGTATTGGCAGATACTATTAAATCTTTGATCGTTGCATAGTATTATGATAAATATTAGGATTTAGAGTATTTAAGAGACTTATTACATCCAGTGATGGATTTTTTATTAAATAAGTAGCCTATTGTAAACTATCTTACATAGGATTTAGTAAGAATAAATTCAACATATAAAATACAACCCTAAGTCAAATTTTTCAGAGTATTTAACTTCGATCAAAGAAGAAATAGAAGTTATACCTAAATTAACAGTTGAATTGAAAAAAAATCAAGAATTTAATTCTTAATCATTGTTTTTAATTTCTTTAGAATTAGAAATTAAAGACAAAATGTTATTTGAAGATCAAAAACTGAAAATTTAAAAGCAGGGTATGAGTAAGAGAATTACTGAATAGTAAGTTTATTTTGAAGCTTTGCAAGAATTAAAAAATTGGGAATTAGCCTAGAAAAATAAGTATTCATATTAAAATTAAGAGCAATAATCTTAAAATTAAACAAATAATATGTCTACTTCTGTAAATTCATAATTTTTGAATAATACAGATATACCTATCTATGAGTTTTCAGAATAATTTGATAATGATGAAAAATAGAAAGAATTTTATGATTCATTATCATAAATTTTAAATTAAATTTCAGAGAAAGATTAATTTTGATCATCGTTTTGTTGAAGATCTATTAAAAATGATTATTCAATAAAATAATTTAAAATATTAAATAATCAATCATATTTATTACATTAAGATTAAATTTGCATCATTAAATGTCAAAGAATATCAAAATAAACTTTATACTAACTATACAAATTTTAAGAATTTTAAGCTAATTTTATAAAATTTGAATTAATCAGAAAACCTTATATAAGTATATTCTGTTTTTAATTAGACCTTTATGTATCCAAAAAATAAGTAGAATATGAGAATGAATGAAAAAATGAAAAGGAATTGAGAGAGGGATATTAATTTTTATATTAATAATATATTAAATGTAAAGTGGATTCTCAGTATGTAGAAGGAAGGCTGGATAGACATTCAGAAAGACTCTTGGACTATATAATTATAAATTGGGACATTAACAATATCATAAAGAACCTGGGACTATATAGTTGAATGCAGTTGAGCAATTGTAAAATGTAAAATAAGCAAATTAATATTTTGAATAGACTAAGAGTTATGAAGGAATAATGAGAATAAAGAAATTAAGATAGGAAAGTGATAGAGTGTTTGGAAAATTTATTGGAAGTATATGAAATATTATAAAATAAAGCAAAATTTGTGGTTGATAAGAGTAGAGTACCTTAATATGATATACCAGATTTAACTGGATTTGAAGTAAATTAATGATGAATTTAGCTTAAACCATATGTATCATACCATACACCTTAAGTTGATAAGGAAACTTAGATAAAATTAGAAAGACTCAATGATTTTAATTTAATAGAGAATTTGGTAACTCGATCGGAAACAAAATTATTAGATAAGAAGTGACGCATCAAATATTAAGAATTTTAAATACCCTATCTTAAATATCATATTCTTCTATTCTATCTTTTTGTATTTTTATTATTTATATTCAAATAATGAGTTCCAAAAGAAGAGTTGGAATAGCCCATTTCCTCCTAAGAACCTTTGAAATGCTGGATGTATAAAAATAAATTTATAGAATTTCAACAGACACCAAAGTTAAAACATTTGATAGAGTGGTCACCTTGTGGTGAATTGTTTTATATAAAAAACTCTAAAGAATTTGCTCACAAAGTATACTTGAGATTCAAATTTATTTTTTAGGTGCTCCCATAATATTTCAGACATAGGAACTTTTAATCTTTCCTTAGACAATTAAATATGTATAACTTTGTTAAGAAACGTTTGAAGAATGGATGGAATCAATTTTAACATAAGTACTTTAAAAGAGAAGCCAAGTATATTATTTAAGATTATTTTCAATCTTTTTAGAAATCTACTTATACATGTTCATCGTCGAAGTAATGGTTAATGTTCTGATGAAGAGGAATAAATAGGTATTTTTATATCTTTATATTTAGACCAACAAGACTCCATCAAAAAACAATAAGAATTATTACAATAAATCAAATATCTCTAAAATGATATTGTTCTTACTTCAAGCTTCCTTTTTTAATAATCAGTTATTCTATAAGGCAACTTCTAACGTCTTAAGAATGTATTATCTATATGTTTAAATTAGAAATTATTGTATCAGTACATCGAGGAACAGAAATAAGAAAAATTCCTCTTTAGCACTTTTTCTCTTTTAAATAAATCATAAACTGATTCCCCCAAGTTAACTTAAACCATACTTACTCAGAACCGAAAAGAAACAGATCAGGAACCATAATTATTTGTACTCTCTTGATAAGCAAGATTTTATATTCCATCCCTCATTAAAATATTTATTATTATAAAAACTTAAACTGTTACATTTCTAATCACATTCTTCAAAATTACAAATTACCCACTTATATGCCTTCATTGACTATTTTATTTCATACCTTTCAGAAGCAATGATGTAATTAACTTAAATTAAATATCTTTAATTGCATAAATTATTATTTAAAATAGATAAATAATATCAATTTTATAAACACTTGTGTATAATCATTATAAATTGTTTTATTTAAATTATGAAAATAAGGCTTTTTTTGCTTTGTTTTATAACGTCTCGTTACTTAACTTAAGGAATAAATCAATACATTTCTGTATTAAATTTAATAATATAATATGAGTTCTTAATAAAATAAACAGAAAGATGTTGTCAATAAATAAATGACATTTGCACTGAATCCAAAGCCTGATAATAATATAACAGGTCCAATCAAATTAAATAAAGCTAATAGTTATGATCTTAGTCATGTGAAAAGTGAACCTTTATAAAAAGCAACAAATCAAGTATCAAAATCAAACATAGGAATAATTTAAGACATAGAATAATAAGTAATTTTAAATATCACAATGGTAGAACAAAAATATCGAGTCTAAAAGTTTGAAGAAATAAAATAAAATAAAGTATATTGCAACTAGGTACATGTGTCAATAAATTTGCATAGATCAATTGCTGGATTAAAAGCCTACACAAAAGCATTGAAAGAAAACTAAGATTCTTTATTCTATAAGTTGGAAATCAATAAATAAACTGATAAAAACTTATTTCTTTTGGCAGATGGTCATGGTGAATACGGTGATAAAGTATCCCAATATGCAATATAAAAACTTTCTGATTGCATAAATGACATGTTAGTATCAATGGACACTCAATCAAAAAGTGTAGAATAACTTAATTCAAATATTATAACATGCTTCTAAAAAATTGAATCTAATCTAGTAATACAATCTATATAATTATTAGGTTAACTTATCAAATATTGATATTGCCAATAGCGGTACTACAATGAATTTAGTTTTAACTTTTGAAAATTATTTAATATCTGCTAATATTGGTGATACAAGAACATTTTATTTTTAAAGAAGTGATAAAGCAGATTAACTTGGACCAGCTACTTTAAGAATCAAACAATTATCGATTTAGCATACTCCTGAAAAAGCATTAGAGTCAAAAAGGATTTTAGAATAAGGTGGAAAAATTGAGTAAGATACATAAGGTTTTCAAAAGACAGGACCTTTGAAAGTAAAGTCAAAAAAATAAGATATAAAAGGTGTTACAATAACAAGATCATTTGGAGATACATTAGCAAAATAAGTGGGGATTATATCAGAACCAGAAATTCATACTTTCTAAATTTTATAAGAAGGATTTTTAATATTAGCCACAGGATCAATTTTAGATATGATTGATATTATAGATATTTGTAGAATCTTAACTCCAATCACTCCTCCTAATAGTTAAGCAGCACTTGATCAAGCAGCAGGATAAATTATAGAAGAGGCAAGAAAAAAGGCAAAACCTCAACCTGATATATAGGATGATTATTCATTGATTTTAGTTTATATTGAAATGGATTTTGCTTGAAATCCATTTATTCTTATTATTAAAAATTTATCATATATCTCCACAAAAAAAGGATTTTTATTATTATACCACTAATCAGAAATGTGATTAAAACAACAATTGATTTGTCTTTTTCTTTTTTGATCAATTTAATACATTCTTTGTAATCAATTATTTATCTAAGTGGGTTTCAAATATAAGTCTCATAATGTAAGAATTAATTTGATTAAAGCAAATTAGTATTAGATTTTGCTTACTATACTTAAAGATGCTGCAATTAACAACTGTACCTACTTTAATTCATATATGTAAATTATATAGAATATAACTATAATTTTTTTTCGATTGTTTCTTTGATCAACTAATTCTCTGTTTTAATCCATTATATTACTTATGGATTGAATTTTACTAATTTTGTTCTACAGATCAAATATTAGATAAAGTTTGTTCAAAACACTTGAATATGGATTTGAAATAATTATATTAACTAAGGATAAATAAGAAAATTATCATGAAGAGAACTTAATAAATAAAGAACAATAATAGCAATAATATTAATAAAAAAGAAAGGATCTAAAAAAAAAGAACGAAGACTTTTATAATAAATGAGCTATATATTGTTTTATCAAAGAAGATTGAAATAAAATAAAAAGATTAAATTAAAATCTTTTAATCAGAGGTTTTGGTATATCTTAAAAGATAGAAGCTACAAGGGAGCTCATTTAATGAATCTAAATAAATAAATCTGCAAAAAGAAAATATGTTAGATCCCTATTGAAGAAGAATTGGTAAAAATATCAGCTTATGGGTTATTGGTAATTCATCTATAGCTTAGAGGCTTGGAACAGTTGAAAAAAATAATTAGTTAATTTTTTATGAAGATTATAATAATATATATATATTTTTGTTTTTCTATCAAATATTAAAAGCATAAAAAGTTCAACTATCAAATTCTTTATTCTAGCGATAAATGAGACAACAGATAACTTCTTTTCATTGCCTTATCATCAGATATTTACAATAAATATAATTATGTGGTATTTGGAATATTATCAACTTGAAAAAATTTTTCAATTAGAACTTTTTGAAGTAATGAAGGAGAGTGTTAAGTAAATTTAAAATATTAATTAGTTATGGTAAGCAAAATTTATTTGATAATGATATTTTTCCTAAATTAAAAAGAAAAAAGTGAAAAAATTTTTAGAAGAGAATCCTGGCTTAATAAATTAGTAAAAAACATGATAAAGGTAAAAAAGTAATAATAGTGGAAAAATGAGTATTAATAAGAAGTTATTATCAAAGTAGTGTAAATAAATAATATATATTAATTTGAAAAAAATTGTATGGAATATATTCATATAATTTGAGATTCAAAAGCTAATAAAAAATCCAAAAAATTTGATTATTAAAAATATAAATTATGAATAATATCTTCATATTATCATGCATCATCACTTTGAGTCTTGGATGGACTGTGACTTTAGGAAATCAATGCAAGTGTAGTGATTATGTTTTCTAAAACGATTGTGTATTAGCTTATGTTTATGGTTGTATTTGGAATGATGCTTCTTCTACTTGTTCAAACTTGAAATGCTCAGATTATATTGTAGACTGTCCTATAGCAACAACACTTTGTGCTTATAACCCTCCAACAGATACTTGTGGAACCTTTTCATCATGCTCAAGTTTAAGCGGAACCAGTGTATAAGCCTGTGCAATTTAAAATATACATTGTACTTGGGTATCCGGTTCAAACTGTGCTGACTTTAATTGTTCTAAATTTTCAACATCTAATTGTCCTTAGGAATGTTAGAAAACCTAAACTGCATGTGTAGACTATTAATGTTAAACACTCAGTATGAAATAGTGTGCTGAAGTTGAAGCTTTTACAATCTATCCAATTTGCAAAGTGGCAGGACCTACTACTTGTAGATCATTTGTATGCACAGATTTTACAACTTAAGATGATTGTTTTGTAGCATACAATTCAGGAAAAACAATACAACCTTGTGTATGGAGTACAACATGTGTTGATGCTTAAGGACCAACTGGTTATACAGCAGCTACATGCTTTACTAGTACTCTTGGTTAATATCGTTGGTCATCAAGTTCTGCCACTTCTGGATCCTGTGAATAATGCACAGGCGGAGGTAATGGAAGCTATGGAATGCTTTTGTAAGTTTTATTTGCCATTATTCTACTTTTGGTTTGAGATTGAGCAGATAAATTAACATAAATATATCATATCAATTTTATTTTCTCTTTTTTTACTCTAAATTTACAGATTAATCAAGTTCATTTTATATTGATTATCCTAAAACAAAATTAATTTTCCACATTCTTTGTCTACCATAATTATATTAATTTTATAATACATAAAAAAAACATATAATATTTAACCCACCTTTTCTTTAATACTATGATGCTTTTAAGTCATCAATATATACTTTATTGTATCTATTAATTTCCCATTATTTCAGTAAGGCTATATTATTTATATAGTAAATTTTTTTTTCTTAAGAACTCCATTAATTTCATCCAATAATCGTAATAGATTAACTAAAATTTAAGGGTTTTCTTAATTTAATTACATTATTGAAATTATTTATTATGATTCTTAATATTAAAATTTATCTGCTTCTATAAATCATCTTATAATAAATCTAATTATTTCATTAATTAAGTGAATATAACTTATAATTTGTTTTTATTCAATTTATTTTATAAGTTTTTATTTTAATTGAATTGCAAATTTTTATTCTCTTTAATATTCAAGGTATTATTAGATTCTTTATTCATTTTATCTTGACTTTGATTAAGATCGATTAGACTATTTAATTTGATATAACTTAAGAAAGAAGCTGTATCAGGTAAAGTAATTTAAATGAAAAAATTTACACCATTTTAATGTTAAGAGTTTAGAAGTCTAGTGTTTGTAATTTAAAATGCTTACATTTTCATAATCTGATTATTTTTTAAATTGAACTGCACTAAATTATATCATAGAGAATCAAATTATTAATCATTATTATTTAAGTTATCATCAAATTCTTAAATTTTATTCTTATTTTTGGATTACTAGACATCTTGCTGATATTTAAATTTTGAAATTGAATAATAATTATAATAATATTTCATATATATAAATCGTTTTTTTAGAAGGAATGAGCTTAAAATGTTTATTACTCTTTTAATTGATCCTTTTAAGTTGGACACATAATCAAGGAAAATCGGTAAAGTTATCAAAAAAGCAAGCACATCATAAACATCATAAATCACAAAAATTTTTGGATAGTATAATGGTATTTTATAATGATAATCAAAAAAGGATGTAAATGAAGATTCAATAGAATTGTTACTATAAAAACATGAAGTAAATTCATACAAAATCAAAAGAACTTCTATTTGGCTGAAATGACAGTTGGGTAACCTGAATAAAAATTAACTGTTTTAATAGACACAGGAAGCCCAAATCTTCTTCTAACTTCATCACTTTGTTAACAGAACAGTTGTATATAACATGGTTCATACAATCCTTCCTTATCAACTACTTCTTACTATATAGAAGCAATAAAATTGGCTAATGTATATTGTTTATATGTATTTAGGGAGAAGTAGGGAATGAGATTGATATATAATTTGCATCTGGAAGTGTAGTAGGAGTGTTTTTTGAAGACAGAGTGTGTCTAAATTAATACTGTGTTAATAATTAATTTATTGTTGGAATAGTTGAACAAACCGAGGATGTAATTAATAAAATAAATTTTAGATATTCAGTCAAATGAAATTTGATGGAATATTAGGATTAGGACGAATAAAGGAAGCTGTTGTAAAAAATGCATCTTATATTCACAATTTAGAATATGATGTAAGATTTATAATTATTCTCTATTAAGACTGATACTCGAAATTTTTCACTTTATTTAAGTAATCGTGATGATGATGATATGTCAAGTGAACTTGTATTAGGAGGTATTTCATAACATTTAATTGCACCTGGAGAGGAATTTAAATTTTTTGATGTCACTTCAGATAATTTATGGACTGTAAATATTAAAGCAGTCTTTTTGGGAGATGAAAGAATAGATGATTGTAATAATTGTTAAGGACTTATTGATTCTGGTACATCCTTTATCAGTTTTCCAGTTTATGCTATGGAGAAATTCTATTAAAAGTTTGGAGTGTAAATATATATTATATTAATATTTAGTTATTAATTATGTAGTAATATTGATTCATTCCCAGATTTAACATTTATTTTAGATAGAGGTATTAAATTTACACTTACTGGATCATAATATTTTAAAAGAAACACTCATGCTTTATTCTCTAAAGATATTTGCATTCCTTATATTAAAAATAATCCTATTATTGGTGATGAACTTATTGTTCTTGGATAACCATTTCTTATTCATCATTATGTTTGGTTTGATGAAGATTAATCTAAAATTGGAATTGTTAAATCTAAATAACAATCTCATCAATCCTGATGCTAATTATTATTAATAAAATTTATACAATATTATATTCCTATTAATTTCATTATTAATATTATTATAAATTAATAAATATGTTAATAAATTATGTTCATAAAAAATAACTTCTTTTTATGGTTGCTATGAATACTTAATTAAAAAAAATTAATTAATTTATTGATTGTCTCCATTTTGAATAAATTATAGAAATTAGCACTTTTTTATCTAAAATTTAAAAGAAATAGGGAAAAAGAAACATTATTAATTGAGAAATTAATTGAAGAATGTAATACTAAAATTGAAAATCCCTTATAATTAATAATTAAAGATGAAGATATATTAAACAAACTTGAGCTTATTTATAAAATCTAACAATATTTTTATGTATTTCTATAATTTTAATTCATGTTCAAAGAATAGTATTTGCTTAATCTATATAGTAAAAAATAGAATGAAGTGATTGAATCAAAAGATTTATCTTTACTAAAGGATAGATTATTTATTACTTGATAAAAATAATACAAAATTAAATTTTAAATAAAGTTTTGTCAAGATTGTATGTGATTTAGGGAGTAAAATATTTTAAAATAATGAATGATGCTTAAAATGCATAGTGATAAAGTTTGGTATCGAGTTGAATCAAAATTTTTTGGATTTTTTCTGAATATACATATATGCACTCAATAATATTGTTGAAGAGGGACTATAAAAAAATTAAGATTAGCTTATGGAACAGGAATTGATAATAAAGAAGACAAAAGAATTGGTGTACTTGTGGATTATGAAAATAATAAATAATACAATTTATTTATATGTTATTTACAAGAATAAGGTTGATGAAATATAGATTATTAAAGAATTGTGATGTACTGATTTAAATTTATATATTAATAATTTCTTTTATATGAATTAATTTGAATAATGTGAAAGAAAAAAGTAGTGTTCTTTGGATTAAATGTTTAAGAAATATGAAGAAGCAACTTAAGTATATTTTATAATATAAATTTATTAGAGATATTAAAAAGGGTTAGAAGAAAAGAAATAGAGAGCAAAAATAGAATCAGATAAAGCAAGGGAAGCTTAATTTATTTAAAAACTTGAAGCTTAGAATAAAAAAATAGAGTTTGATGAAAAATTATAAGAATCTTAGGAAAGAAAAAAGGATTTAGAAAAACATATGTTAGAGAAGTAGTTGTAAAAAAAATAAAAAGATGAAGAAGTAAGAAGGAAAAAGAAAGAAAATGAAGATGAAAAACTATAAAAATTATTAAAGAAATAAGAAAAAAAAGATGTTCAAGTAAAGAAGGTGAAAAAAGATGTTTAAAAAATTAAAAAGAAAGATGATTTAAAAATATTATTAGATCAATCTGTTTCCGATGATGCATCTTTAGATTTAGAATTAGAAAAGAAAAGATAGTGTAAATCATTATCAGATAGTTTATAAGCATTAGAGACTGATTAAATCATATATTTTAAATTATAGAAATAAAAAGAAGTTGAAATTAAAGAAAATAAGAAAAAGTAAAAATTATAAAATATTATGCCTTCAAAAACTTTTAGAGAATAATCAGTTCCAACAATTAAGAAATCAACAATCTTTCCTATTTTAATTCGTTAAAAATAAGATGAGAATTCAATTTTGTTGTAATAAATTATTTAATAATAATAATAACCTTAATCACCCACTTTTAAAAATGATGAAAATTCTAGTACTAATGTTACTCCTAAAAAAGAGAAAGAAGAAGAACCTCAATTTTTTAAATTATGTTAAATTTGTAATAGCATAATAGATAATGAAGATGGAGATAAACATATTTAATCAAAGTCTCATAAATAAACAAAATAATATTATAATTTAACAGCAACATAAAATGATATTTTAGTAGTAAAAGGATCAAAAGATGAAATGTCATAGAATAGATTCTAATCAATTAGAAAACGTTGTTAAAAGATTAAATAAAAAATATAATAAAAAAGTCTTTAATTAGAAAACATGAATATTTATTGTTATAAAGAACCAGGAAATAGTTATAATAGATAAAGAATTTAAAAATTATCAAATGATTTGGATAAACTGTTGAACAATTAAATTAAAGATTTGTATTAAATTGAATAATTAATGAAAGAATTATTAAAATTAGTAAATTAGGAGACAGATTTAATAAATCTCAGGTAAATGAAGTTCATTTAAATTGTGGTCGAAGTCTTTAAGAAGATCTCATCCTGTCATAAAAATGAATATACTTAATATCTAAAAATTATAGGCGTGGTAAATACTATTGATTATCATTGAGGCTACTGAAATAGTTTATTAATTTTGCAGTGTTTACAATAACAGGACATATATGTTGGCAAGTAATAAATTACTACCTATAATTGATTTTATGTATAACTTTTTAGCATCAAAGCCTACCAAATTTATATATAGTTATTAATTTGTTGCTTAATGCTTTTAAATATTTAGTTTATTAATAAAACATAAATTACCTTCAGATCCACTTTCAGATTTGAATATTCAAGAAATTTAAGAAGACACCTTAGAATATATGTATTGTTGTGGATTATTCAATAAAATGAAGTTAAGATTTCTATCATTTGAAAAAGACTATATAAACTCTGAAGGTAAAATACCTGTTGCTTTAGTTAAAAGTGTTGCATTTATAGAAGCTGCAACAAACTATCATGGTTTTGAGTATTTTTATATTTAAATTTTAGAACTTAAAATAAATCACTATTTGATGAGGATGGCAAGAGAATATCTAAAAGTTTTGAAGAGCATCTTAAATTTGTATTAAAAGAAACTGAACTCTTTGGTTTGATTTAATTAATTAGTTAAATGGTTGTAGGGGAAGAGATATGTTTTACAACTAATAAATTACTACCATAAACTATTATAAGTTTTTTCATGGTAGGAATTAAAACTTTAAATAATATTGCTAGATTAAATATTATAGTCTTATAGGAAACTATGAATAAATCATCTAATAAATAAGAAGTTCATATGATTATATAAAGACTTGTAACATATTGTAAATGCAATCTTGAATAAAGTTAAGATTTAAAAGACTTGTTAAATGAATTGATTCTTTTAATAGGGTATTATTGTGTTTTAAATACAAATAATTAAAACTCACTAGTAGGATCAATGAAAAAGATTTCGGTACTTCACAATTTATTGTAAATGCCTTCTCCATTTTATGTTGATAAAATATTAAAGAATATTCTTTTTCCAACTCTACTTTGTTGTATGTTTAGAAATCTAAACAATATGAAAATTGTTTTAGATGAAATGGATAAATCATATTTTTTAGAAATTTTATAACAAGATGTAATTATAATAAATTTAATTTAGTCTGAACAATTTTATGAAAATCATAATGGTTAATAATTATAAAGATCACCATCAATGTCTAGTACAAATTCTTAGAATTCTGTATTCCCTTACAGTTCTGCTGTATACTTTAAACTTAGTTAACGATTTCCTAAGTGTTTTTTTTAAGAAGCTAAAAAAGAATTACTAGATTATAAGGATTGAATTATATCATATTTATTTAAATTTAAAAGTTATTATTATACTTCAAATATCTTTACCATTTATTTAATTATTTTCTAATTCTTCATTTTTACCAAAAAGAAAATCATGAGAGGCTCTAAATACATCATAGGTATTTTAAATGTCTATTCCTAAAGAATTACATTAGTTTCGCTCTGTCATAAATTAATATAAATCTAAAGAATCATCCTCTTCTATATCATGACCAAAAAATTTCTCAAATGACTCTTTAAAATGATGTTGCATATCTTTCTTTTCTATTGCCAAAAGTAATTTCGCAACTTATGATGGTCTTAATTCAGTTCTTAATTAATCAAGAGTAGAATCAAATGATGCAAGCTCTTTTTAAATTTAAGATTTTGTATCCATTATTTAAGTAACAGAACTTTAATATCATTTACATATATACTTAGAAATATCTTGGTAATGCTTTGCTAACTTTTATTACTTTTTCAAAAGTATTTGTTTCTATTTATCTGCCAATTTCAATTATGTTAACAAATTAAGATTTATATTTCTATTATAATTCTAGATTTTTTACTATTCATTTTAACAAAATATATCATCTTGTTTTTTTGCTATCTAAATAATATAATTGCAAAAAGGAGCTAAACAATTTTCATTAATCTATCTTGCATAATGATCAATTAAAAATTATCTTTCTTAAGAAGCTGAACCAAATTTTTTCTAAATTAAAAATTTATTACATTTAAAGAATCTATTATTGAATCTACATTTGCTTCTGATGCATTATTTTATAATGACGTTTGAAGATTGTTAAATAAAATACATTTAGTTTAATCTTATTCTTTTTTCTAAATGTATTATTATTGCTTACTTATGTTAATTTAATTTATAAATTCTATGCCAAACTATAAGTTTTATCATTAACATCTTTAAACAAATCCAATTATTCTGATAATTTGGTTACTTTATTTTCAAGTAATTCAAGATAAATTTTCTTTCTTTTTCTACTATTTCTAGCTGATTCCCTATTTTTAGCTAACTTGTCCTCCTTTTCTGTTTGAGAAACATAATTAAATTATTATTGACTTTAAAATTGTTTAGTTAGAAACTTTTTTTCTGGCCTTCGTTATTTAATCATTTTATTTACATTCCTTTATCTTCAATTTTTTCTTATGTCGGAGATAATTTCATTAACGAACTAATTTTTTTGATGTAAGTGTTTTTTGTATTTTCTTTTATCCTTTTATTGTGATTAGCAGATGTTTAAATATTTTTAACATTCCCTTCAAAATCTAAATTTCCATTTTGACTTGAAGATTATTAGAAGCCAATCGGGTCATATTCATCTAATTAATTCATTTATTATTAATATTATAGATTATTATATGCTGTAATAAATCCTAATGAAGTTAAATCATCTGATAATAAATTAAATTATTATAATTTTTTATTACATAATTATTTATATTAAAACTCTAGCCATCAAATTATCCTTTATCAATGTTTTATATCTATATCAAAATTAAAAAATTTTTCATCATTTTAAAACATAAATTTAATAAAATATCAATTTGTTAAGTGCCACCCTAAGGAATACATGCAATAAGACAAGGAAGTTATAAGGACAACCAAGAAATTTATAAATGCATTGTGAAGTTGATTTCTATTCAATATATATTAAGTTGAATGTCTCAAGAATATGAATCTTATAACTTTTTTAATTATCAAAACTTATACTAATATGTAATTATTAATTTTAAAATAAAAATTGAAAATTCAATCATCAATTATCTCTTAAAGTGAACAAATTTTTAAATTTGGATGACAATATTTAAATTGATCACAAATTTTAGTTTTTGATTAACATAAAGCAGCATAAAGCTAATAATATATTGTGCAAACACTATAAAAATATTGATTCATCTCCTCAAACTCAGAAAATCTAGATAAAATAATTAAATTTAGTATCTGTATATCTCTACAAAAAGTGAAATGCTTTTGACAATTTTTTCAATATTATTCTAAATCTTTATGAATCTTTTATAAACCATTTAATAATAATAATAGCTCCTCTAATATAATATCATATTTTTACTTCTATATTATTATATTATAATACATATCCATATTGAATAAGTGGTACTTAAACTAATTTACGAATTATTAAATTATGCAATAGAGGTTTCTAATTTTAGTTTTTAAAATGATTTTATATTTAGATATCATTTTCTAAAAGTAAACAAATTAGTTAATATTATTTATTTTAGTAATTTTTTCAAAAATAAACTAATTAAAAGGTTTTTTAGGCTTTTATTTAATTAAATTAAGACTAAACTTTTAAACTAATCTAATTTAAATATACTTTTTTTATTAAAAGTCATTAATTCATCTATTATATTAAAATTGTATAATAAAAAACTTTTAGTTAATTTTTAATCGCTTCCAATCAATTTTTGAGAGGAAAAATTCAGAAAGAAAAAATTTAATATATATAATTAAACTTTAAATTCAAAAATGATAGCATTTTTAAATATACAGACTTATAATTCTAAAAACTTTTGATGATTAATAATTGTTTTTAGTTTTAGAAATTAGATGATGTGATTGTTAGTTAAAAAATAAAAAAACAATATAATTCTATTAAGTGAAATATTTTATGTTTTAAAACAAATTACATAATTTCTTAAGAATTATAATCATTTTGTTTTTGGTTTTTTTCGCTAAACTATTTTAAATTAAGTATTCGAAATTTTCTAAACTGATTTAGAAGTTTATGTGGGTTTTAACTTTTGTATAATATCAATATAGATGTTGTTTTAAGTAAAGTGATTTAATCTCATTTATTAATTCTAAGTAACTTAAAGTATTTTGCTTAATTGTTGAGGATTTTAGTAATATTTTGGAGATCTTGCATAATTCACAACAAATACAAACCCTCTTTTGATTTCAAGCTAATTTTACATAATGGAAAAATTAAAATTGATTCCATTAAGTTGCTTTTCTTATTTTTCTGAGTAACATTACGTATTAAGAATTTATTTAATTATAAAAATTACTGAATCATGCGTAGCATCCTTATTAAAATTGTATAATTATAAAAAATGTGTTTTTCATTTCTTCTAAATAGAATATATATTATATATATTTAATTTATAATGTACTTTAGACAAAATGGTGGCAACAACTTATAAACGTCAACTTAAAACCTTTATTAATTATTAGAGTATACTATAACACTATCAAAATGGATTTAGAATTCTATATACCATAATAATTGTATTTAACAAAAAATTAAATTCAAATAACAATTTTCCACCAAAATCTAATAACTAGGATAATCTAATAATTAATAACTATTCTAAACCAGCAAATTACATTATCTACATAAATAAGCAATATTTAATTTAAGACTCCGAAAAGGAATAAATAGTTCAATAATATTTAATCACACTAATCATCATCAAAAAATTATTCTAATTTAACAACCTTAAAAAAGGATATTTCATTCAATAATAGTATCCCACAGAACCAAAACAACTTATTTAAAGATATTTAAATAAACTAAAGCCACCTATAAGAATCTATAGAGTAACTAAAGATTCATGAATATAATAATAATTTTAATCATAAATCTAATGATATTAAAATTTAAAATACTTTAATAGAATAATAGATTAAGGATAAATAAGAAGAGTTATCTACATATTTAAACTAAGATATAAAATTTCCTTCATATATGGAACTAGTTGTTGATTAAGAAATATAACAAAAGGAAATCACATAATTATGTTAATAATAAGATTACCAGCAATAAAAAGCTTAATCTTAAGAATAAAAGTAATTTTAGTAAAAATAAAATTAATTTCTTACAACATCACTATCATATATGACATTAGTACTTTAAAATGAATAATCTGAATAATCCAAATAATAATATTAAAATTTAAATTTAACATAACCTTAATAGTAATTATAACAAAAATAACAATAATTGCTTAAAACTTCACCATCATATATGACATCAGTATTTTCAAATGTATAAACCTAACAATGCAAAAAAAGAAATTTAATAAAACTAAAATCTTTTATAATAATAACAACTTTAAAATCGACAAATCTCATAAACTTTATAGAATTTGGAAGATCTCAAATGAATAACAATAATAAAAGCTATCCTAATATTATTTACAGTTAGATCAAATTAATAAATAATAATAAATGATATCTGAAACAACAAAATTCAATAATATAAGTTAAAATCATAATAATAACATTTAAATAGAAATTCTTCCTTTAGTTAACCAAAACAATATAAATAATTAAATAATTGTAAACTCAAAAAATAATGAGGTTTTGAGTTATTAACAATATAGATTAAAATATTATGACATTTATAAATAACAATACCCATGGATGGGATTATCTGCGTTAACTAAAGAAATAGAAAAATAATGGAAAGTAAACTAATTAAATTAAAAACGTATTAATGATGCAACTCAACTGAATGTTGGGTCCACATATAATGAAAAAGCACCTGATTAAGTATATGATAAGAAAATTACGAATAAATGATTATCATTATATGTTGGGTTAAATAATAA